CTGATTTTTTTTTTTTTTTTTTTTTTTTTGTGAATTATTATCATATCTCTGTGCAAACATCTCATGTCTTTTGCTTCTGCAATCAGTTGCATTAACACTTATTGGAGGTGTGCAACATGTTGATGCTACTGGAACTAGGGTAAGAGGGGAGTCCCACTTACTCTTGGTTGGTGATCCTGGTATGCAATCCATTGTTATTACTATTTCTGCTACCACCACTAATACAATTAATATTAAATTTCTATATGCTGTAAAACTGCCACAAAAATTGGACGATGCTTCACCTAATGACTTGAGTATGTGTTCGCTATGTATCAAATGCAGCTTTCTCAATTATATATATGAACTGGATGTTGACTTTCCTGTCAGCTCTTATCATCAAATTAAGTGAAAAGAAATAAAAGAAAGTTATACTCCTAATTTGCCTCACATACTGTCTTTATTACAGGCACTGGAAAATCTCAGTTTCTGAAATTTGCTGCAAAATTGAGCAACCGATCTGTTATTACCACTGGGTTGGGAAGCACAAGTGCAGGATTGACTGTTACTGCAGTGAAGGATGGAGGTAAGCTCCATACAGCTAAAATTTTCAAAGCAAAAGACTCTTTTACATTCATTCTTTGTTATTTGTATCCATATTTTGCATATCTGTCAATATGTTTGTTTGAATTCACTTACTATTAAAGATACTTTATTTAAGTACTCTACAGTAAACTATGGGGATTTCACTTATTTGATAAAATCATGTTCTAGACTTCTAGTGCATGGGCAGTCCTTGATCATAATTGATTTTTGTTGTTGAACATTGTTGTTGAATCCTTGGAGAATTACTAGGTTGTCTTGGTTATTTAATAATTGATTTTTGTTGTTGATACATGTTCTATAAAGGACTTTTTGTTTAAGCAACATGCTTTTTTTTTGCATTCAGTTTTTTGAACTTGCCTCTCATGGCATTTTGTATACAAACAATAATGATGAAGATGATAGTTAAAGTTATAATCTAGCATTTCAAGCATACTTTAATTTAATCATACGTAACTCATTTACTTGAATACATAATTCAACATGCACGGATCTGCATACTTTATAGATGGTTATAGTAATTACAAGGCCAATTTATGGAATCTTTAGGGGAATGGATGTTGGAAGCTGGGGCTCTTGTTTTGGCAGATGGAGGATTGTGTTGCATAGATGAATTTGATAGGTAAGCTCTAGCATAATTGCTTTGGTTTTGAATTTATCTTCTGGAGATTAGTTCTTCACCAAATGTTGTATGTGGTCAAGTAGTATTCCAATTTTGAAGCTGAAAATCAAAACAAAGAGCAGGATATTCATATTTGGAGGTTTAAATTGGATTTTTACGCAGGAAATCTTGTGTTGATAAGCATTATAAAACATTTTATTCTGGCATTTGTTTGTTATATTTAAAGATTTGATGTTTGTTTGTGTCTATGGCTATGCACTAAGATGCTTTCATTTCAGCAGTGACTCTAATTATGAATGACACAACAAAGCTTGCAGTCTGCAATAAGACATCATCCTTTGTTTTAATGGAAACTGAAGTTTAACTTTTAACTACACTAAGCCACCGAGTTTCTTCCATTTTTAACTTGGAAGACCTGGACTAGTTCTACATTTAATTGGTTCTACTTTTCTAATACCTGACACCTTCGATACCTTAAGTTGGTTGAGGAAGTTTCACTAAATGCTTTCATGAAACTTGAATGGAAATTCTGGCAGGACTGTATATATTATTTTTATTTAGCATCCTGGCATTGGGTATGTAACTAAACATTATTTTGGCAGTATGAGGGAACATGACAGAGCAACGATACACGAAGCCATGGAGCAGCAGACAATAAGTGTTGCCAAGGTAGAATGTTTGAATACATTACTCAAAATTTGAATGAACTTCAGCTTTCTTTAAAGAGTTCAATGGATATATATTGCTAGTGTAAAAGATTTTACATTGTCAACTAATTAAAAATCAGCTTTGGTATGACTTTTAGGATGATTATTATTAAAGTCAACAAACTTACTATAAATAGTAGTTTGTGATTGGATGACAGTATAAAAAAAAAATTACACTATGAGTGCATATCCTTTTTTCTATTCTTTAAAAAAAGTAAAATGGCTGCTGGCAGGTTTGTGGTAAAAAAGTGTGGCAACTGATCTACTCTCTTGCTTTATTCAGGCTGGTCTTGTAACAACACTCAGCTCTAGAACAACTGTATTTGGCGCCACAAATCCCAAGGGACAATATGATCCTGATCAACGTATCACTTAAGTAAATATATATTATTTAATACTATTTAAGATTGATGTCAAACTACACTGTTACTTGATGTACAATTTCGAGGGCATTGAGCTTTTTCATCTTGGTTCTAGATTATGTCCGAAGTTGTTTACTATTGCTTCAGTTCAATACTTGTCTGACTTAACACAAGGTAGCTCTGTCTGTCAATACAACGCTCTCTGGTCCTTTATTAAGCAGGTTTGATATTGTCCTTGTTCTCTTGGATACAAAAAATCCTGATTGGGATGCTGTAGTTTCATCTCATATTCTTTCTGAGGTAATCTTTATCCCTGTACAATGCATACAACTTCCTGTGGTTAAGATTATAATACTTGTATGAAAACTAATATCCAGGCAGAACTGGATAGTACCACCAATGATGAAGATCTGGTAAATAGCTGGCCACTTCCTACACTGAAGAGGTAAGATATGAGGCTAATGACCATGAATAACACTGTTTGCAGATCATAAAACTTAGAAAAGGAAAGGATTTTTGAAAGTCTTGGGTGCCTTTCTCTTAATCATTATTAAGCTCTGTCAGAACTCAGCAAATTAGGAATCTAGAATTTAAATTTAATTTATCCTCTCTAGCTTGATTTTTGTCCCCATTGCTTCATGATTGTGTTGCCATTTTGAAATTGCTCATAATTTTAGGTATAGAAGTCAGTAGCGCACTATAGTGGAGTAGCGGAGTGGCTTGGGCCTGGTACCGCTGTGGGATTGAAATAGTGGAGCAATTTTCATTAGCAGCGGCAATAGCAGTCAAAGTAGTGGCTTTTTGCACGTCATAGTGGCACTACTACCATGATACAACTTTCAAAAACCCATTTTCACTCCTAGAGCACCGTTTTATTTTATTTTATTTTTAAATACTCCACAAAAAGTTACCTTTGTTTCGTCACACTTAATAAGACATTTTTTTTTCATGTGTTCTGTTCTTTCTTCTTCCTTTAGATTTCCTAATTCGCATTTCGCTAATTTTTATGTAGTTTGTTATGTTCTTTTTATGTTAATTTCACCATCATTTTTCATTACTCCTGGAACACCTTTTTTTTTTTTTTTTTTGGTTAAAATACTCCAGAAAAAGTTACTTCTGACCTTTGTTTCATCACACTTCATAAGACTTTTTTTCATGTGTTCTGTTCTTTATTCTTCCTTTAAATTTCCGAGCTCACATTTCGCTAATTTTTATCTAGTTATGTTCTTTTTTATAGTAATTTCCTTATCATCTTTCATGTTTTAACTTTATGTTATTTTTGCTCCTAGATTGATTGTGATTGTGTGTATAAATTGTGGCTTATTATTTATCTTGAATTCCTTTAATTTTGGGTATTTTATTTTCTTTTTTGAGTATTTATATGTAAGCATATACCATTTAATTTGTATTATTACATTTTAAAAATAACGATCATCTTGCTATAGCATTTTTCGGAGTTGTCCACATGTGCTGCTATGAGATTGATAAATATGATTTTAGGATAACTTTTTTCTTAGAATTTGGGCTTAAAGCCTAACTCAACCACACAAAATTAACTAATAAAGTGAAGATTGTCCAAGTTTTAGTTTTATAAGCATTACTTAGGTGATCACAGTTAAGGGGACTTTCCAACACACTTCCTCACACCCAGGGTTATTGAGCTTTAATTTACTAATGGTTGACCTTGTTTTTTCCCCTTTTAGTAAGTAGACTTTCATTAATTTCATAAAGTAAGGTTAAATAAGATAAACCATTTCTTTACATAGACAAGTAATGGAATGCAGTGACCTTAGTTATGTGCAAAATTCAATCTCCATTGAGTTCTTTTGGTTTTGGCCTGTAGGAATATGCTGCAACATTAGATAGATATGGTTTATTTCCAAATTTCGTCAAAGTTCAATATTGATGGCTTTGTAAAAAACTCTTGATTACTTACAATAGTGAAAAAAATCCTGCAGGTACATACAGTATGTGAAAGAACATTTCAGACCAGTCCTAACGAGAGAGGCTGAAATAGTTATATCCAGCTATTATCAGCTTCAAAGGAAATCTGCAACTCATAATGCAGGTTTGACCTAGAAACCTGTTATGTAATTTGAGTATAATACATAATCAATTTATGTCATTTTCCTGATTGCAAATATGCAATGTAGCTAGAACAACTGTCCGCATGTTGGAAAGTTTGATACGCCTAGCTCAAGGTATGTAACTAGTACTGGATGAAACTTATCTGGTCAACTTATCCCTCTTATCTTATGTGCTTTGACTCTTTAAATGTCATAGCCCATGCAAGGCTGATGTTCAGAAATGAGGTGACTCGACTAGATGCCATCACGGCTATTCTATGCATAGAATCCTCCATGACTACCTCAGCTATTGTGGATTGCATAGGGAATGCTCTGCATTCCAATTTTACTGACAACCCTGATCAGGAATGTATCCTTTCCTTGCTGTCCTTTTTTTTTGTGCTTAGATTACCCTTTACATACATTTAATGCAACTATGACAACCAAACCTTATCCTATTAAATGCAGCCAGTCATGTGGATCAATTGATTTCATTGGGTGGGTTCTGTTGCGGAAAACCAAAATTGCAGTTTAGCCATTTGTGTTGTAATAATTTTGATGACTTACTTTTTTTTCTCGAACCTAATAAAGTGATACGGATAAGTAGTGTTCTTTAGTTTAAATGGAATATTTTGTGATCTTTTCACACAGTAATATCATTCATCTTAGTCAAAAGAAATCTATCTGCAGCGGAAAACTAGGGGGGAGTAGAGATTGAGGATTAGAGCAGGTATTGCATGTATGTAAATGTCCTTTAGTTTGTGCAAAGCTAAGTAATATTATTGTGTTGTGTTATGTCCTCACTTTACAGCTTTTTGATTTTGCTTCAACAAGAACTTCCTTACTACACAATAAAACAGATGCGAAGCAAGAAAGATTGATCCTAGAAAAATTGGAATCAATAGATGACTTTCCTGATATGAATGAATAGCATGGGGGAGTGAAGGCAAAGTAAGGAGGAAAACAACATGGAAGAGTGAAGTGGTTCCTTTTGGTTGGTTTTGCTATTACAATGAAAAAGATTGTTTTAGCATTGAAGGGGGAAAAGTTTTATTTGTTACTAAACGATATAGATGCCTTTCATTTGTTTCTTGTGTACTTTTAGTCAAACCTGGTTGAGCACTAGAGATGCATACTTGGTTTACAAGCTGCCTGGTTGCGAATTATCTAGTTTCCTTCCGATGTATACGAATATGTGAATATGTTATTTTTTTAATCAGTTGTGAATATGTGATCCAGTTTCAAGCTTTACTAATCACAAAAACTATTTCTATGGAAAGGTTCCAGAAGTTAAATATCGAACTTAAGACTAACAAGTATCAACTTGTAACACATCCGATCTCCTTTCCTTTCAAGTCCTACAAAAATTCAGTATGGTAAGAAGTCTTGCAGAAATCTTGGTCATGGATTTGAGATCTCTATAAAAAAAATCAGCTTTTTCTTTTTATGAGCGGATTACATAACCAAATTATTATATCAAAAGTTTGGTAAGGAGATCTTAATCTCTGATGACTTATCTGTTTGTAAAGTTTGGAATGAGATTCTTTTTCTGTATTATCCATTATGCTTTGGTCTTGTGCTGTAAGTATTCTAACTTGTATTGATAGTATTGTAAGTTTTTTCTTTTTTTTGGTGACGAGTTAAGCATCCTTTCATTTTGGATCAATCAAGTTGGGTTTAGATGGGGTAGGGCTCTACAATTTGAATTGCCTGAACTACCCTTTGATGTGGTTGTGTGTGTGAATTCATTAGGGATGTTCTTTGTAAATCAATTATAAGATCATAGAAAATTTGACTTGAATCTTTATAAAGCTAATAATTTCATCAATTAGTCTAACTAAGTTGAGCAATTTATCTTGTCTGAATCCCTGGAGGAGTTTTCACAATTTGATGTTGAATTGAACAAAGTAGTGTAGTGCATTAAATTTCCCAAAAGATTTTGAGAAACAAAAGGATTGTTACTTAAACTAAGATTAAGATTCTATTATTTATTCACCGAGTGTTTGATTTTGCATTTATTTCCTATAATGCATGTAAAACAACAATACGTGACTTTTGAAAGTTATAAGGAGTAACTTCAGGGTTGGACGGGGAATTAATGCACCCAATAATATAATGTATTTTTTTTTATCACTTTCATATACTGAAAAAAAAATTGTAATATAATATGAATGTGTTTAATTCACATTTGGTCATTCAAAATCATAATAAAATATCAGCTAACATGATTTTAAGTTAATGTATTACATATTTGATTCCACGCTGATGAATTAATTATGGATTCATAATTAAACAATTTTAGGAGTATTTATGTTGAATAAAATAATTTATACTAAATTATATTACTAATTCATTTTTAGAATAAAACATTAAAAAATGAATTACATCATTTCAAAATTAATTTTGACCGAAATTAATCTTAAAAAAATCAATTTTTTTCAAAACAATTGTGCAAATGCTCGCCTAAACACAAGTCTTTGATCACAACGTCAAACGAATGCATTTAAAAATATTCATATATTTAAGTTTTACGATTTCAACGGCAGTAGGCACCCTCAACCTTTGAAAGGTCATTATTATTTACGAGACACATGTGAGTAAAAAAAACCCAAGTGAACCAAACCATTTTTGAAAGAACCCGAACCGGACTGTTAGAATGCAATTGGGTGCACTGAAAAAACTGAAACCCCAATCCGTTTCATTTTCATAGAGAAAGAAATTTCTGCCTCTAACCGTGTTTCGTTAAATTCCTCAGAAGCAAAGCAGACTTTGAACTATCAGCAAGCCAGGAAAGGGAAATTTCGGAACTTTGTTTCAATTGTGGTCGTTTCGGTGCCCTATCTCAGACTACAATGGTACGATCCCCCTCTTTACTCAATCAAACCAATACATCATTCATCATTAGCGCCACTATCGTTTACGATTTCCCTTAGTTAGTAGCTTCCCTTTATTTTATGTATCGTATCTAGGGTTCAAAACAAAAAAGTTTTTTTTATTTTTAATCATGGATCAACCATTAACTTGTGCAATTCCCATATCAGTCATCTTTATACAGAGGGGAATCCAGGAGGTTCAACAACAAACAAAGAGGACGCCATCATTTGACAACGCAGAAGAAGCAGGAGATCAGGGAAGCCTTTGAATTATTTGATACCGATGGCTCAGGTTTTGTATATAGACTGTCATTTTAGTATCAAAATAACACTATGGTCGAATAGTTTTCTTTCTTTCTTTTTCATTAACGTTGTTACTTTGATTTATAGGTACTATTGATGCCAAGGAGCTGAATGTTGCCATGAGGTATTGTTGATTTTCATAGTCTTAATTTTTTTTTTTTCATATTATTTGGCTGTGTTGTTTTTGTGACAGACATCTTATGTCGACAGGGCCCTTGGATTTGAGATGACAGAAGAGGTATTATTCATATTCCAGTACATGCATTCAATTTTCTTCTGATTGAATTAAATTTTGCAAGTTATAAATTTCAATGATTTCCTCCAAAAATTATCGATCGTGGTCACAAGGAAGGGAGCCATCTGTCTCTCTCCATGTTCATGATAGCTGAAGCTAACTTTCCCCTGCCCCTCCTCTTTTATTGTTTTATTTAACATTTACCGGTCGGGCTGTGGTTGTTCTTCTACTTATTCAGCATTAAGGAGTCAATTGCTTGAAATGAAATCCAAAAAAATGCTAACTAGTGCTTTATAGGCATCTGTTAAGGAATCAAAAGTAAAAAAAAAAATTATTAAAAAGTGTAACAACACACTCCCATATAACTTAATGTAGTTTTCGATAAAATGCCCTTAGGGCACTGATTTTCAAGACCCAATCCTAAATTTAGTGTGGTTTGTGTATGTAATCTGGGATTTCCTGATGCTATGCTTTTTGTCAGAGTTCTATTTGCATTTCTGATAGATAACCTGTGCTGTCATTTCAGCAAATTAATCAAATGATAGCAGATGTGGACAAGGATGGAAGTGGAGCAATTGATTATGACGAATTTGAGTACATGATGACAGCCAAAATAGGAGAAAGGGACACAAAAGAGGAGCTCATGAAAGCTTTCCATATTATTGATCATGATAAAAATGTAAAGTTCTTCTCTGCTGTACATCATTTATACTTCTTCATAATTCTCATTGTTTGTGGTCTATTCAGGGAAAGATATCTGCATCAGACATCAAGCGCATTGCAAAAGAGCTAGGTCAAAATTTCACTGACAGAGAGATTCAGGAGATGGTTGATGAAGCAGATCAAGATAGTAAGTTATTCCAAACTTATCCTTGTCAACTTTCTAATTTTACAAGAAAACTTTTACTTCTCATATTGCAGATTTGTATTCTATAATTAGCGGGGTGTGGATGCATGGGATTTAGATTATGCTGACATAACGTAGTGTGTATATAAAATATTATGATCATTACTTTGAACTTCTAAATGGAAGTTTTCTGCGCTTGAAAGATTAAACACAAAATACAGAGGCAAAAAAGATTAAAAAGAAAGTATTCTTCATGATGATAATTCATAATTCTCTGGGGGGAAAGGGGGTCGATGTGTTGTACTCTCTTGTCTGTTGGATGACAATTTTTATTAAATAAACGGTAAAGGAACACGATATTTGCCATCATTTTTTAACTGTAGATTTAGTGATCAGTACTGACTTGTTTATTTGTTAGACATTGTATTTATCACCTGTTGGTTTAGGAACACGATATTTGCCATTATTCTCTTTTGCTTTCCAATTTGTCTCTGTGATTGCGTCCCATGATTACGAGATGTTATATCAGCTTTTTGGGTTTAAAATGTGCAGATGATCGAGAGGTTAGTGCAGAGGAGTTCATCACGATGATGAACAGAACTAACTTCCATCACTAGTCTTATGACCTTGTCTATGTGGGGTAGTTGTTATCTTTGTTTGGCCGCACTACTAGTACATTAAATATATATTAAAAAAAACGAAGCTATATACTCTTGTTATTGTACAAGACTAAAAGTTGTATGAATAATTTCAATTCTATTATTGCGTATTGCCTATGAATAATAATGATGTTTGCACATATTTCGGTCTGTTCTGACTCAAGATAGCAGTAGGCTTTTACAAATTAAAGGGTTTGCTCATGTATATTCGCTTAAATTCTAAAAGAATATTTCAGTAAGTTACATATTTCGGTATAAGAAAATTAGAGCCTCTAAATTGTAGTTTTTTTTAAAAAAAAAAAAAATCCGGTTCATGGATGACAGCATCGACCCTCCTTCAAGTTCTGATTTCTTATAAAAGCCTAGATTCAATTACACCATGGGTTTTTCATGCATTCAGCATTCAATTTCAGAATCCATAGTAGTTCATCCTCTAGATAGACTCTGCATCGGAGGCATGAAAGTACCTGCAAGATTGCTTCTCAGGGATACTTCTTTAGGATAGCTGAGACTCAAGAAGACCTATTTAGTTTTCAGCAAAATAATAGTCTTGGAATCTCACCCAATTAAAGATGATGTTAAGCTAGTTTATTAAATTATTAGTGTTTAGTAAAATTATTTGTTGAAGCAGTGTCTGGTAAAATTATTTTTTGATTGATTGATAAATATAAAATGACAAAAATAAATGTTTATATGATTTTTATATAAATTTTAATTATAATTCACTGACAAAATTGTATTTTGGTATATATATAATTTTTTTAATTAATAATAAACCAGTTATTTTTTATTTATTGACTGCATTTTTTAGAAATCATATTATTAATGGAAGTATTTACCAATTTTATTGATGATTAATATTTATTAGAAGATTTGATTTACCACTGATATCTCTTTTCTTAACCACATTTTTTCCATTCAAGATTCAACTTCTAAATCTTTCTTAAGGGATTGAACTTAATTATACTCATATCATCGATTTTTTAATTTCAATATGTATTTTATTATTAATGTTATATTATATATTAGAATATTCCCAACTAAGGTCTACACAAAATGATTTAACATACTCACATATGCGTGAGGAGAAGTCATACTTTTATAATGTTGATTTGTGTAATGGTTAAAAATAATGAAGTATAATGTTAAAGTAATATTTATATTTATACTTCTATACTATATATAATCTACTATATAAGAGAATATATAGGATACATATTTTTTCCTCACTATGTTATCCATATTATTACTGAAATTACTTACATCTAGCCTCTAATTGTAAATTATTATTATTATTATTTAACTTATGTTATTTTATGATTTGAATATGTATGTGGACCTTATAATATATTTGGTTTATGGTTTTAGTCCATATAAAAAATTGTCCGTTTTAGTCCTTATAAAATCTTATTTTACGATTTTAATCCTAGTATTTTTAAGTTTTTATAAAATAATAAAGTTTTAATATAAGTTTTCATACAATTTTATTTTATGATTTAAGTCCTTTGATTTTATATGAGAAAATTGCCACATTGTTGGTGAATAGTAACACAACTAAAATCATAAAATAAAATTATATAGGGATCAAAGTCAACATAAAAAAAATTATGGAGACTAACTATTCAAAATTAAAAATATATTTAATTTTACTTTATTAAAAACAAAATAAATAGAGATATAAAGTACTGATGACAAATAATATAAATAGTATAGTGATTAAAATAGACCGTATGAGAAGGAAAATAAAAAATTAAAGTAAAATTTTATCCTATATAAGATTATATAAATATATTAGATGAGAAAATTTAATAAATATTTCAAGAGTAAATAAAATATAAAATATAAATTTAGTATATTAAAAAAATATTTAGAAATGTTAATTTCAAGGTTCATTTTGTATTCTCAAGAACAAGATTTTCAATAATATTATAAGTATGAATTTTATTTTTGGATATATTAAAAAATGGTTATATTTCAATATTCTTTTAAGTATAATTTAAAATTATTTAAAATTATTAATATTTATTAAATTAATTAATATTATGTTTAATTTTTAAATTTTAAGATATAAAATTATGAGTCTTATTTATACTTATTATAAAAAAGATATATTTAATAACTATCTTTTTAGTATCTATTTTTTATTAGATCCTTTACATAATTCTAGTAAGTTTTTTTTTTAAATTATAAATTTAGTATTACGGAAAGTACTTTCTATAATAGTAAATTTAGTATTCTAAAAAGTACTTTTCAAAAATATGTTAAAGATACAATTATGAAAAATGTTTTCCGGAACACTAATTTTACTATTTTGAAAATTACTTTTTGAAACACTAAAATTATTTGATGTATTTTTTAGACATGTAAATGGAAGTGCTTGAAGAAAAAACACACTTGGCTTGACACCTTTAACATTGTCAAGAAAGTCACACGCGCACCTATAATGATGTTGAAAACTAGTTTCATATCTCATATGCATGTGAAAATTAAAAGAAGAGAGAAGAAGGGCAATAGTGTGAAAACTGAAGAAATATGTGTGAAAAAGAAGAAGAAAGTGTTAAATTGAATGTTGGAGATGTAAAATTAAAAAATTAAAAAATAAACATATTTATATTTTTTAAAAAAAAATAAAGAGGTGTACTTATTAAAAAAAAGTGTATATATATATATATATATATATATATATATTTTATATAAGTCGATTCCTCTCGTATAAAAATAATTAATTTTTAATATTATTTTTTATTATTTAAAAATTAAAAGATAAAATTAACTAAAAAAATATTTATACCAAATTAAGTTATAAATAAAAAAATACAAAAAATTATAAATAAAAGAAAATGACACAAAAGTGATTCCCTTCTAAAAGCAGAAGAATCTAGCTGATCATTAGAAATGGCGAAGAGAAGGAGAAAGAGAAAGAGGAAGCAAGAGTTGTTACCGTACGACGTGGTAATGAACATTCTGATAAGAGTCCCCGTGAAATCCCTCCTCCGATTCCAATGCGTCTCCAAGCAATGGCTTAACATGATCAAAGCCAACCCTTTCTTCATCCAACACCACCTTCTTCACTCTTCCCAAAACCCCTTCCTCCTCCTCCAACGAATCTCTCGCCAGCCTCGCCCTCTCCCCTTCTCCTCCTGCCTCATCGGAGTCGGACCCCACATCACCGACTTCCCCATCGCATCTCCCACCGCCAAAATCCTCGCTTCCTGCAACGGCCTCTTGTGCCTCCGTGAAAAAACCAAGCTTTCCCTCCTCAACCCCGCCACTAACCAAATCAAACACCTCCCCGGAAAAACCCTATTCGGTTTTCACTACATCGGATTCGGCTTCACCCCTCAATCCAACGACTACAAGATAGTCACAATCTCCATGCACGTCATCCACCAGGACCATGTCCTTCTCGATCTCGACCACGTTAGGGTTGACCGCGCCCAACTTTATTCCTTAAACTCTGCCTCCTGGAAGGAGATTGACGCCGTAAAGTTGCAACCTTTGTGCCTTGTCTCTAGCTCCGTCGCTATCACTGGAAACGTCTTCTGGCTTGCCACCATGGCTTCTGACTCTGCCACTGATTCTGAGTTTGTCGTTTCCTTTGACATCGCTAGGGAGTTTTTCACGCTGTTGGACGGTCCTCCGGTTCCTTCTTCACCCACTCGTTCCTATAGCAACGTGCTTGCGGTTCGTAACGATAAGCTCGCCATGTTTCGGCACTACATTGTTGGGAACTTTGAGTCTTGTTCCTTTGATTTGTGGGTGTTGGAGGATTTTGGTAATGATGATGCTTGTGGGGTTGGGGAGAGATGGGTTAAGATGTATAGTGTGGGCCCCTTTTCAAGGGTTTTGTATCCGTTGAGTATATGGAGAGATGAAGTTGTGTGTAGGGAAGAGGTTTCTGGACATGGGAACGAGTACAGAGGAGTGGAAACGGTTCTGTCGCTGTTCAATCCTTTGAGTAATGAACTGAAGAATCTGCCAGCGCATAGAGATGAGTATTGCTATGTGCCCTTTACTTATGCTGAGAGTCTTGTTCCACTTTGACAGCGTTAATTCATCATGAACGTGCTGTTCATGTTTCATTTTGGGGTCGTTTTGCTTGTGCAGTTTGGGTGGAAAGTGACTCATACTAGAGACACTATATATATAGACTTATTGATGCTGTTGAATCCATATATATATGGTTTTAGCTCTATTAATCCATATATCCCTACTGCATGATATGTTACTTTCAATGCTGTTTTGAGGAATCTTTTCTCTTTTTGTTGTTGTTGTTTCGTCTCGATGCATTTTGTAGCAGATATATGTTCAACTCTGTTTCTAATATAATGCGTGGAAGATCTCCATTTTTGTGTAAATTCACGTCCAAATGTTGAAATAACGCAGAAGTGGGGGAAAAAAAAAACTTGGTTCGAAATTTAGGCACATCAAATCTATGCAAATCCGTTTTGTGTATCTTATAAAAAATTCAAGAGGAAAAGGCCAAGTCTCTTCGTTTTCGGCAGTGGAAATGGTATTGTGTTTCTGCATTTTGTTAATCATTAAATTGATCATGTGCTAGTCAATTGGCAATTTCTGTTGGAGTTAACGTTTTACACCATTTGTAAACACGAGGGACTAATTTATGCATATTTAAACTTTAGAAATCACTAGGAGGAGCCTAAGGTTGGATACAAGACAGATCATACAATGGTCGATAAAGGTGCAACGGAATTTGAAAAAGAGAATAAAATGAAACAACTACAACGAAAGTAACAGGGAAACTAGAAACTGTGATGGAAGGCAGTGTGAGCAAGCTTTAATCTATCTACAATTTATGTGTAAAGTAATGTTCCTATTACTTGGATAAGATTTTTGCATCGCCACATGCAATTATCGCACCAATGTTACTTTCACACCAGAGTAACTATAAACACATATCTCACGTATCACTTTCTCATTGTTACTTTCTATCTCTTTTCGTCCACCCCTGTTCGCCATAAAATAGGGTACATGTTTATAATTCTTCATATATATTTTTTTATTAAGAGTCTCATGTTTTGATTTATATAATTTTGCATAACTTTGTTTAGGCCTGATCAAAAAATCCCGTCCCGCCCGAATTCGATAACCCATGATCAAATATGTTTGATGGACGAATTGACTCGGATGATTGGATTTTCGAGTTTTTTAAAATCGGTTTTGAATGAGTTATTACGATTGGATTGGAGTTTAAATTTCTTTATCTATAGGTCTCCAAACCTGTTTGATAAATCTGTCTCTTATTCACGAACTTCCTTTTCTTGTTGCTCAAGTTCAGCTTCACCAAGTTTCCTTCTCCGTTGCCACTGTCACTGTTGCATGCATGAAAATAGTCGACGAAAAGGATTTCGATGGAGGGGGAAGTTGCGAAATGCTACCGGAATGACGCTAACACCGTCATCATCTTCTTCGTTAGGAAGAGAAAGAAATGAAACAGATGATAAAGGAAGCGTAGCTGTCAGAAATTACTTCTGTGAGAACTCCCTTTCCATGAAATTCGTTTAACCCGACATGAACAATCCCAAGTACTGATGCGGTTAGAAATGAGTCCATATTTTTTTTTTTGGTTAATTTGTACTAGACTGAACATTTTCAACCCGAATTCGCTCCATTATCATGCCTAACTTTCTTTTCATTTCATTGTTTTTAATTACATTGTATTGTATGCACATAGTTACACTCCTAATGTAAAAATGATGTGAAATTGGTTCAAGGTAATATAAGAAAAGAAAGATGGAATTCATATTAACATCTTTACAGTACTGTTCCTTCTTGAAAGTCATTATGTTATAAGAATATCAACTAAAATGAATCTTATGTAGAATTTTTCAGTTAGATTCGCTCATCCACCATCGAAATCTTATACTTATATATATATATATATATATATATATATATAGGTAATGTGAATATATTAATGCTAGGTAATTATAGTATATTTTTCTGCAATTAGTAGTTGATCTATTAAGTGTAATGACTATGACGAGTTGTTATAGACTTAAATTTTTGATGCTTTTATTAAATTGTTCTAATTTGTTGGTTTATCAAAACAAGCCAAATTCATCCATTTCAACTAAAATGAATCTTATGTAGAATTTTTCAGTTAGATTCGCTCATCCACCATCGAAATCTTATACTTATATATATATATATATATATATATATATATATATATAATTTGTATCATCTCTCTTCTTTTTAATTAAAGACATAAATTTTACCCAAAAAAAAGTCAAATGAAAGGAACTGAATATCACCAAATAATTGTCGGAAGCAATAATCAATAAACAGTAATCACCGCCCCAATTATTTTCCTTTCTCTATTCTCCGAAGAAATTTGTTGTTTAGAGGGGATAAAAGGTAAAAAAGTGATGTCTTAGTGGATATGACCTCAAAGACAAAACAGAGAGAGAGGAAGCATCGTTTTCTTTCTAGCTAGGAAACACAACAACTTAGGTAAAGCAGTGTCCATAGCATTAGAAAAATTCAGCCATGGTCGTGTATTTTTATTTTTCAAAAAGAAGTAAATGGAAAGGGCAATTTCATAGGCTTTTGACTTTTTCAAACTTTCACTCTCTCCTATGTCATATTGTTCGCACTTGGATCCGCTGCAGCGGTTCTGCTTTTATAGCAGTGATCCTGTCCATTACATTTATATCATATGGTTATTAAAAATGGTAATATAAAAAAAAATATTTGTATTATTAATAGAAGAAAAAAAAGAGTTGATATGTTAGGTCCTAATTTAACTTTAATGTGGTTCATCTAAGGATTGAAGATTTCTGATTTTTGCATAGGGACAACGTGAGTACGACACAAATCTCTTGTTATGGTTTAATATGGATTTTTGACTCATTATCTCGCAAGTTTTCTCTAAACTTTTGGCACAATATAAGACTTTCACAGGTTCACTAAGGTTTTTTTTTTCTGTTAAATTAATTTTTCGCTGGTATCGAGCCTGAATGTTCATTGATAATTAGGTACAAGTGATGTATTATATTATAAAGTATCCTCTATTTAATTAAAGGCTCTTCATATATGTTGCCATATTGAGTTTGAAATTTTGAATTAGGTATGGCCTTTTGGTTTTGCAAGTGGTACAACTGTTCAGTTAATGAGTAACATTAGACAGACAAAATTCATTATAACATAAGAAAGATTATTATTTTATATTTTATAATTGTTGTCTTATTCTTTGGGCTATCAATGATTTAATGAAAATAATGAATTATTCTTAAAAACTCGCTACTACGCTAATTGTGACACTTTCCCCTTAACTATATCTTTCTCTTTCTCTGCCCATCACCATCCCTGAAGGTTTTGAGTATTGCCACTCATTACTTGATCTGTTTATGTTTTGTTTTGCCTTGTTAGTGTCACTCCATTCAACATGTTCTTATTTTCTATAGTTCAAAAAATTGAAGCCTTGTCATATAATATCAATATTCACAGTATTTTTTTCAGGGGAAAATTGAAGCGACTATGGCAAGAGAAAATTTGTCAAGGAAAATAATGAGCACAAGGTTGCTCCTAATATTGGGATATATATATATATATAAAATAAATAAAAAGACCACCCTTTAATTATCTGTTTAATGCAATGAACAAAAAATATTTTTTTATATCTAAATTCCCTTGAACCACCCAATGAAACGAGCCAAATCCAACACTTAAAAGTTTCTGATATCCTTTTAGTCAAATTGTAACATTTTACCGAGGGAGGGGACCACAGACATATGTTAAACCAAATTTCTACTCAACAAAAGTAAAATAATATAGAGACAATAGATATGCTTGGTGTTACCTTTTCTCCACCCATGTAATATATTGCTTATTGACTAAATCTCTTGGAGAAGAAAGAGACAACAACTTAAATAAGATACTGTACAATATATAGCTCACACAGATTACTAAAGTTTAAGGTCAAGTTTCCGTTGAACTCGACTCAGTTACGTGCATGTTACAAGTCATAGATCCCTCGTGCTTTAGTAGCATGTCATTGACTTGAAAATTGAGGAGTCGCTGTGGTAGTATGGTTCTTAGCACCTCACGGCTTAATGCAACAATTGATGTAGGCCATGATCCTCTTTTTCCCCTGCATCATAATAATTAACAATGGAATTAGAAGTTGTATTCCCTAATTACATGCTCGTTCTTACTTGTCCCGTGTGTTATAATAGAAACATGAAGGGGAGTATAGCCTAGATACAGCAAGCATAAATTGAAATTTTCACATTTGGAAACAAAGCTGAATTAGAGTTCTAGTAGTAATTTTGTACACATCTCTCTCCCTCCAATCACTCTCTAATTTGCATGTTACTTTTGACAATATTCTACATATACATAAGACCCTTCTCACTTTTTCTTTTGACAAATAATCAACTAACCATAGAATCTTCAGGAGCATGACTGCGAACATGATGATGATGATGATGGTGATGATGATGATGAGATTGACTATTATTAGAATTAACAGAGTCCCCTTCAATCTCATGAATTTTAGTCTTGATTTCAGTCATGCTGGTCTTCTGGTGCTTTTTGTTAGCACGAGCTTGGGTGAACACCACCGAATAGTCGGTAGCTCCTGGTGCGTTTTGGTCCCACCCTCCAAACTGAGGCACAGACATCCTGCCATGTATGTTCTGCACAAACATAATAATGTTACTACCTTTGTTGTTGCACATTCTCAAATGCACAGTTTGTTTAGAGGGAAAATTGGAACTTTCATCCTCATCTTATATTGGTCAACTAATGCGCATTAACCATTTCAAAATGTGATTTATTAAACAACGAGGAACCTCTGATTTATTAAACACATAGAAGTATGGTTATAGTTCATAAGATATAACATCATAAATTGGATTTCCTGTTCTTGTTTCATAGGCTTCATGCATTCCCGGTTCCTGGTTACCATGGTTGAAGACTGTTATAAAATAATTCATTTTGATACCTCTTGTTCCATGGCTGAATGGAGAGGCTGGTGACCTTGAGAATTGAGCTACGACTATTGTAGAAATTAAGGTAGTTATTGCTACCACTTTTTTAAAAATATAAAAAAGGAGGTTAGCATGGGGTATTTTAACTATGAGAAACTAGGATAAAACTAGACATTTTGTTATGTTTGGTACTCAAAATATGTCAGTTTCAAGGAATTAGCGAAATGAACGTGTTTGTCGATTTGAATTCTTGTGATTAGAGTAAAAGTAGGGAAAAAATATGTGGTTGTTCAATTACTACTTTCCTTCTATTATGAGCTTGTGCAAATTAGAACATGATATTATCCAAGTTTAGGGAAAATATGATGATTATTCTATACCAGAAAGGATTTTTAGACACAGCTTTTCACCATAGAAATGTAAATTAACAAAAATAAAATAATAACTAACTTGCCCACCTAATTTCTGCTATATGTGCCAATTTTAGGTCTGTCAATATATTTTCCTCTCGTTGCCTAATGGACGTTCATATATGCAAAGGTTCTATTTAGTATTTATTCTTATTTATTTAATTTACTTGAAAATATACGTTTTTTTTAAAAAAAAATTTACTATTAATTTATTTTTATTTTAAATATTGTGTCCCATACTTACCATTTTACTTTTAATTTTTCAATCTTTTAATTAAGACTTATACAATTTTAGTCATGAGTGATGATATAGAAATATGACGACTAAAGTTTAAAATAAGATATGAACGTTTTATATAATACAACACTATCTATTCAACAAGTTCTTTTGATTTTTTTTAATTAAAATTCTGCATATATTTATTACAACTAAATAAAAAAATTACATTTATATTATATTTTTAATACTAATATTTTTTTTGTATTCTTTCTTTATTACTACATATTAATATATTATAATATATTATTATTTTATGATATTTTAAAATTATATAATTATTGACTTGTTTAAAATATATAATAAATTTTATTTATTTATTAAAGAACATGTTATTATTATTATTATTAAATAAATAAATTCATATATTAATAATAATATTAGTGTATATTTGTAGGTAAATAAACAATTTAATAAATATAAGTTAGAATATATTAATATACTTTTGTGAAAATAACAATATAAATATATTACATATGATATAAATATATTAAAAGAAGATTAATTAAAAGTATATGATATAAATAAAAATATAATGGCTAAAATATGAAAAATAGATGCTTAATATTTATATCTTATATTTCTGACTAACTTTTTAAATATATTTGTATTTATTAAATTATTAATTATCTATTGATATATGATTAATATTGGTAATTATTTTTTATCTATTAAAATCTAACATATATTATTCCAATCTCAATCACTAGGCCAACTTAGTAGTTTATTAATATTATTAGTATTAATTTATTTATGACTTTTTAATAATAATAATAATAATAATAATAATAATAATAAATATATTATAATTCTTTTTTACATGTAAAAGAATTTATTCACTTGGTGTTACACCTAAAAGATGAAGGGAAGTTTGGGGTTGTTTGTGAGTTATTGTAAACCATTAGATTTCTGAGAATAGGAAAAAAGTTTATAAAAAAAAATATATATATATATTTTTTGTTAACCCAGTCTCACGCTGTGGTTTGATTGAGATGAGATGGGTAAGCACTAAGCAGACTCAGTGACTAACGAAGAAGAAGAAAGAAGCATATGTTATTGTTTATGCTATGCATATCACATGTGTAACCATGGCCATGAGATTCACACTCCTTCATATCCTCTCTCTCACCTTCTTCATCACCTTTCCCTCTTCACTCTCACAATCTGACCAGGTCACCCCAATCTCAGTTGACTTTCACTCTTCTGAGTTCTAGGTTTTCAAATTCAATTACTCATCATCTCTTTTCACTCATTCAGTTTTGTGACGCTGGACTTACCTCATCCAAGCTCTTGATCAAGGGAGGCACCGTTGTCAATGCTCATCACCAACAACTTGCCGATGTTTACGTCCAAGATGGCGTCATTCTTGCCGTCAATCCTTCTATTCCGGTATCTTTTATCTCTTCACTCTTCTCATCTACTTTTTTATCTTACTACCACCTAATGTCTCATTCGTTCCATTGCCAGGTTGGAGATGAGGTGACAGTCATAGATGCCACTGGCAAGTTTGTTATGCCAGGTTAGCCCTTAAGCTTTCAATAGTCTCCATGGGTACAAGCTTAGAAAAATATGTTTTTGAGAATTTTTCTGCTGAAAATGAAGTTTATTTCTAGTACAGGAGTTCTTAAAAAAAAATTAAGTTTGTATCGAAACAGACTCATCATGCATCACTAAGTTGGAGAATAATGCATCTTTTTGTTAACTGGCAGGGGGCATTGACCCTCACACCCACCTAGACTTTGAGTTTATGGATACGGCAACTGTTGATGACTTCTTCAGTGGTCAGGCTGCAGCTTTAGCTGGTGGGACTACGATGCACATTGACTTTGTTATACCACTTAAAGGAAGTTTAACGGCTGGTTTTGAAGCTTATGAAAAGAAGGCAAACAAGTCTTGCATGGATTATGGTTTTCATATGGCTATTACCAAATGGGATGAAACCGTGTCCAGAGAAATGGAGATCATGGTCAAGGAGAAAGGTCACATAATTTATTTCCTTGTTTCATTTTGATAATTTGGCTGATTGTGTGCCAATAACCCTTTGGTTGAGTTTGTGAGGAATTTATTTCAGGTAGTGCATCTATGTTTTGTAATTGCAGGTATCAACTCCTTTAAGTTTTTCATGGCATACAAAGGAGCTCTTATGATCAACGATGAGCTTCTTCTGGAAGGATTTAAAAAGTGCAAGTCTCTTGGTGCCTTAGCTATGGTCCATGCAGAAAATGGAGATGCTGTGTATGAAGGGCAGAAAAAAATGATAGAACTTGGAATAACTGGTCCTGAGGGGCATGCTCTTTCAAGGCCTGCAGTGGTAAATTCTCATATTTGTTCTTTTATAAAGAATTTACAGAACAGTGTAATGAAAATGTTGGCCACTTCTGGTTTCTTTTCATCCTCATTATCTTACCAACCTATTGTATATATGTGAAATTGATTTTTGCTCCTCATATTTAAAATTTCCTTTTTCATCTTATTAGACTTCCTTTGTCAAAATTTGCTTACTCGTGACCACCCTAATTTTACATTTGTTGTGTTCATTTTCATCTGTTTTTGTGAACCACAACTAGTAGGTATGTTATTAGATTGAATACTTGTTATGTTTTCTTATACTGTGTGATTCTTGTAAAGTCTAAATATCTGTCTCTGATTTATAGAACATTTCCCAATTTGACTTTGGTATACCTATGTAGTTGGAAGGAGAGGCAACTGCTCGTGCTATTCGCTTAGCTGATTTTGTGAACACTCCTTTATATGTGGTTCATGTAATGAGCATCGATGCAATGGAAGAAATTGCAAAGGCCAGGAAATCAGGTTCTTAATATTAATCCTTATAGTGTTATTCTTAATTTTCACTGATGTGTTCCACTGTAACATTTGCAATTAATTTTGGTAGAATTGAAAGCTAATCCAAACACACACTTAATTGAGAGTTTGAGACTTGATTCTGATTGCTGTCTTTGATGTGATTTTTTAGGGGGATAACGTTTAGTTTAGGGTTGTTAATGTACCCTTTTTCTCTGTATTTTGTATTCAAGAGATGAGCTTCCCAAGGAAGATTCCATTTCTGATTTGCAGGGAGACTGGATTGCGTTGCTGATTTTTTTAATTTCTTTTACTGTTTCGTTGTTTTACACTTTTTTGATTTAGAGGATTATTTATCCTCTTCCCAAGAAAGGATTACTCATCCTTTCCCTCTTTCCATTCTATCCTGAAAAAAGAGGAAAAGAGTTTCCCGATCCTAATCTCATACTGATAAGAACCTTGGTTATGTAATTATAAGGATATAAGATTTAAGGACAGAAGTTTGACGCTTATCTCTGCATCTAGTTTTCTTCTTAAAGTGGGTAGGTGATAATCATATAAGTTTGAACTTGTAAATTATGAAAAATTGGAAATTATATTGACACAAGTGTCCTATGAAATGGGATTTTCAACTTGAATCTGTTAGGCCATACCAGAAAGAAGTTTTCTCCAGCAACCAGATGACTAATATAAATGGAACACTCTATAGTCTCTTTGAAATTGTATTCTGTGGACTTGTACTATAATTATTCTTGTCTTGTTCTAAATCCAGTGCCCCCTTGTGTTTTACTTTTTCAACCTCTCCAATCTCCATGATGAATTAAAGCATGTTTTTGTCAAAAACTAAATTCTTTGTGGCCATGAAGATGAATAAAATTTATACATCATGTTTAATCCTTGCTTTCAAGTTTATAAACTTCTTCACATTTATTCTATCTTTGATTATGTTCTGAACCGGAGAATGACAAAGCAACACAATAAAAAAGTGGATCAGATTGAAGATCCCTTTTGTTTGCATATGATTCATTTTAAGTGTGACTATTTTTACTTAAGCACATAAGAAAGTTCAATCCAAAAACCTAGTCTAATTGGTAAGAGTGCCTCGCAACCTAACTATCACATTGAGCTTTCTATTCTATTTAATGTGAGATTCATAACATTGTCTCCTTTAAAAGTTGATGCTTACAGCAGCTTCACTCAATCAACTCTGACATGGTGACAGTCCTTCCCCCTTTTGTGGCTTTATTATTTGATACATTGCACCTTAATCTAGGCTATCAGTAGCCCTTCTTGCAATTAAGCATATAAGGAGAGCTCAACCCAAACTACTACTCCATTAGGTGGTAGGGCCTCATGACTTAGATACCACGTTGAGTTTTCTATTCTTAACATGGGATTCATAGCAGTGACATTTTAATTTACTAAATGACTAGTTTTAGTGAGCTCCCTTGCTTGTTTTGATAGTACAGAATGTGCGATTAATTTATATTTTTTCCACCATGATATTTTTGTTCCACTGATTGCGGTCATGCTGCAGGACAAAGAGTAATTGGAGAGCCTGTTGCCTCTGGGTTAGCCCTTGATGAATCTTGGCTCTGGCATCCTGACTTTGAGACTGCTGCAAAGTAAGTGCCTTC